AGGATGAGAAGCGGAGCTACCCTCCCCACCCCTTTCAGATTTCACCCCAGGTCCGGGACACAGGCCTCACTGTGTGGTCTAGGCCTTATCGGCCTCTAAGGCCGGGCTTTTCTTGGGGGCTAAATGAACCCTAAAAGGGCTTATGGCTCATATGACATGACTCATATGCCTTAAGAGGAGTTCTAGTAGTGTAGGGTGTATGACCCCAATTTTAGGGTTCATTTGGTCCACAAGGAATGTGTCCTGGGCCCAGTTACTGCCAAGTTGGCCGGTAGCGGCTCATCCTCGCGCAAGTGGCAGTTCCTGAGCCCCCCAGTTTAGGGTTTACGGTTTAGGGTTTAGGGTAGGCCCTCTCCCTTTTTCAAACCTCACACCCTAAAAGCACATTAACACCAACACCCCGTTGTCATCATCGCAAACCCAAAGCCATCTGTGCTGAACACAAATCCTCAATACCCATGTCTGAATAACTGTCCTGGACAATCTGCTTAAACCCTCAACCCCTAAACCCTAAACCCTAAACTGGTGTCTCGGGTTCTCCACATGGCCAGCTTGACCGGTCTATCTTTGCGTTGGGGCTCGCGGGGCTTTTGCTCGCCTAGCGCAAGAGGAGACATGCGTCGAGCTGCCTGTATATGGAAGTGCGAAATTTAGGGTTTAGGGTTGAGAACTTATAATCTAGGGTTTTGGGTTTAGGGTCTTCGGGCTTACGGTTGAGAACTTTGGAGAACGAGGCTTCGGAGAAGCGACAGCAACCCAACCCTGCCTCCGAAGCTTCAAACCCACACTAAACCCTAAACCCTAAACCCTAAACCCTAAACCCTAAACCCTAAACCCTAAACCCTAAACCCTAAACCCTAAACCCTAAACCCTAATGAATGGAGCCCATCCCGAAGCCCTTCGTTACCCTCGGACTTGTGCCCACAGTCACCTCTCTTCAGCTGGGGGGCTTTCGAACGGCTTGCTCGAACTCGTCCACGGACCTGTCGTCTACGTGGGGGACATCGGCTCAAGCTTTTGTGAAGTTTTGGGACACGGTTTAGGGTTTAGGGTTTAGGGTTTAGGGTTTAGGGTTTAGGGTTTAGGGTTTAGGGTTTAGGGTTTAGTACTTAAGGCAATCCCTCCAAGGAGTCCAGCTTGAGCCCAGGGCTCCCTACACCATGAGCTACCTTAAAGCTGAACCCCTAAACCCTAAACCCTAAACCCTAAACCCTAAACCCCAAACCCTAAACCCTAAACCCTAAACCCATATGTTTTCCAAAACCCTGCACCTGAAGCCTTCCAGCCCTGTCTTTGCATATGCCCATCAAGGTAGGGGCCACCCCGATGTGGGGAGCTAGTGTGGGGGAGGGATTTGAGCTCCGATCTACGGCCAATCCCCCCCCCCCCCCCCCACGGTGGTTCCATGCTACATGCCTTAAGGTGTTTACGTTGAGTTCCGTGCTTTTTAGCAGCTGTGCCCTAATCAGCCCCGAAGCAGATGTGCGGTCTGAAAGGCAGTGCGAAGTTGCCATCAGCATCGAGATTGCGGAAGTCCTCATAGCCTCAGCAGTGGAAGCAGGATTAGAACGGAAAACCGAAAGCTTGGGGGCTTAAAGTGTTGAGACCTTTGCAGAGCCCTGAAGGCTGGAAACTCAAGGACATGCACGGGGGTTTAGGGTTCAGGGTTTAGGGTTTCGGGTTTGGAAGGAATTGAACTCCAGCTTCGGCCTAGCTGCAGGGTCGAACGGTTTCCATGTGAGGAGGCAAAGCTCCGGCATACTCCAATCCCGGACTCTCACTCATACCGCGGTTTAGGGTTTAGGGTTTAGGGTTTAGCAGCCGCGCCCGCTGGCACTTCGACAACTTTCCGCAGCACCGGCAAGGAACCACCATCGACTGCACTGAAGCTTTGCAACACCCTGATACTCTCCTGATACTCCAAGGCGCATGCTTTGACCTCGCTAATAGGCAGCAGAAACGCCTCGGACATCTGCTTGCACAGGGCCTCAGCAGTGGCTGAGACATTCTAAGCTGGTGGAACTCCTTTAGAGGCTGATACACCTAGGGCAAAAAAAGTAATGTTAAAGGTTAACCCTCAACCCTAAACCCAGCTCCTAAGAACTCCAGGGCCCTTGATGTCCTCACGTGCAGCAACCCTGGGACAATTTGTGTCGTACTCGAAGGGAGGTTCACCTGCACCACCATTGGGTAAACACAAGATGCGGGGGTTTCCCTTTTTTAGGGATTTGCTTCATGGGCGTGCTATTCGATTTGGGGTTATAAAGAGGGGACCCCTAAATTTAGGAAATGCCCATGTGTCAGCTGAGGCCGCGGGCATAGACTTCGGCGATGGACTGGGGTCCCTCGACTCGCATCGGGGCATCGCCTAGCCATATGGCAACTTCTTTGGTCCATGTGTGTGTTAGAAGGCCAGTCAACCCGCTTGAGTTTCTCGTGCGCAGGACGGTGTTTTTTATTGCTTTTAATCTTCCGGTGTAGAGACCTACTCTCACTCTCGCACACCCTCTTTAGGATCCAGCGCTTCTTAGCCATCTAGAATCTGAGAACAACTAGCCCTTTCACAAGATAACCCTCGACCCGAAGCCTCCAGACCACAAGCGGAAACCCGGCGTCAAACCTTCAAACCTTGCGCGGGCGTATGGTTTGGGAATGCTGTTGAACTTCTTGAGCCATCCTCAAGCCCGGATTGAAAAGCCTCATAAAATCTGAAGAGCATGTGCTGCCGGCCTCCGTTTTCGCCAGACGACTCCTGCGCAACATGTTCTTTCGATTCTTCTGAAGTCGGTGAAGCTGGGCCTAGCTTGAAATTTAGAATATGATCTACTACACTAAGCCATAAATCACCCCAAGAGAAACAAAAAACAACAACTCATGCCCTAAACCCTAAACCCTAAACCCTAAACCCTACACTACACCCTTTTTTGCATCCGGGCTTGGGGAGTCGGCCGGGAATGGTCAGGAAATCGCGGTGACTTGCATCTGATAAACCCTACGCCCTAAACCCTAAACCCTAATCCGGATGGGAGCCTTGGCCCACAAGTGGGCTGCTTCTGACAAACCCCCAGGGCTTAGGATCTTTTGGCTTAGGGTTTTATAGGCTTTAGGGTTTGGGGTTTTGGCTTAGGGCTTGGAGGGTTTATAGGGGTTTGGAATACCCGGATTCGGGCTGCTCTGCGCTTCAGCATGGCCAAGTGTTTAAGATGCCAACTTTCATCCAAAATCCAATGGCCCTGACCACCAGAAAGCACACTGCGAAAGTGAATTCAAGCGCATCGAGCTGAGCACAGTAGACGATCCGATGAAGATGCTGTCACGGAGCCTAAGGGAATTCTGCACAGTGGGTTACGACTCGATCTTCTTGACGTCTATACGATACAAACGTGCAAGAGAAGCATGCGCACTGCCATTTGAGGAACCTCTGCCGATATGAGGTACGTACCCAGATCTTCCAAAACCCCTTAATTAAGGTATATGCCCTAATTTATACTGAGGATCCTGATTAGGAATTAAGGTATATACCTTAATTAAGGGGTTTTGATCTGGGTAGTCCCCCGCGTTCGTGCAAGCCATAGGTTTGGAACCGCCTTGTGCGGGATTAACCTTGCCTTGGGGACCAAATTGTACCCTAGTAGGAATTATCGTAGCAAGGTGAGGGCCTAACATGAACTCAGCTCCACACTCTACCCTAAACCCTCATCCCTAAACCCCTTAACCGGGTAATTCCGCAGCCTGCTCTTCCTCGGCAGTCCGCACAGCTGTCTTCTTTATCAGCTCCTGGCCGTGGGCGCTAAGCACCCCAAGTGCTGGATCCCTGGATGTAAACATTGTTACATATTCTCGCATTATATATATATATGTATATGCTCCATATATATATATATATGTTTGTATTGCATGTCCACAGCATCTGCCACTCTTTGCGGTAGCCGAGGAAACTCCCACAAGCCGATGGCACCCTTGGCATGAAACCCGCCTGCAGTTCCAACTCCGCAATGGCATCCGCTTGGCGCCGCCGCCTCGTGTCAAAGGTGTTGACAGAAAGTGGCGTAATGTAGGGTTTAGGGTGTAGGGTGTAGGGTGTAGGGTTTAGGGTTTAGGGTTTAGGGTTTAGGGTTAGACAGGCGTTCCATCGACTTGGCACTCAGTAGCTGCACTAGAGACTTCCCACAGACAAGTCTGTCACTGCCGGGCTCATTTTTCAGGGGCTTTGTTCGAGCTGACAGCCAATCCACATTGCAGGAAACAGTCTGTCAACATCCAACTGTTTAGGCTTTGCGGCGAAGGGTCTGTGTACATCACCAAAGAAGACCACATGAATCAAGGGAGTCTTCGGCTTTCGGAACAGTGGCATACTCTGTTGTTGCCAGGGCTTCAGTTTGGCAGCTTGGCACAGCTTGGGCTTGCAAATGTTTTTGGACCTCCGCAGCTTCCTTGGGGACCAAACGAACCCTAATTCAAAAGGTTTATGGCTCATCTACCCTCCCCAATTTTAGGGATCATTTCGTCCCCAAGCTTGTACCCTAAGCGCATTCAATCAAATAGGCGAAGGCTCAGCTCAGGGCAGTGACACCCCAGGATCAAGTAACTTGAAGCGTAGCATCCACTTCTGCTTCGAACCCTACAGTACACCAAAAGCCATCCCAACCCCGAAACACTGCGGACCCCGAAGCCCTAAACCCTAAACCCTCAACCCTAAACCCGAACCCTTCAGCCGAAGACCGCTGCATGCACCCGTCAATGCCCAACGTGGCGCTCGCGGTAGGCTGCAGCCGACTCAGCAAGCGCGCAGACTTGCCGAGGCTTGGCCTCCGGCAGCTTGTCCTCCAAAGGGTTTAGAGTTTAGGGTTTCGACTCTCACGCTGGCGAAGGTTCGAGTGTCGGGACGTGAAACACACTTGCTTGCAGCTCAGCTCAACCCATCCCAGCACAGCTTAGGGTTTAGCGTTTAGGGTTTAAGGGGCTCTTGAGTGAGTTTATGGGATGTTTGCCACCCGCCTAGCATGCTGCCACTCAACTTGAATGATGTTCCCTCCTGCGCAGCTGGGCGAACTGCATTTTCGGGATGACCTCCACAGTCCTTCAACGTCTGGAGAAAGAAAAAACTTTAGGATGTTCCCCCTTACACGAACAGTCCTGAATAGGGATTATAATACCCCCCTCTTATGATCCCCCTAAACCCTAAACCCTAAACCCTAAACCCTAAACCCTAAACCCTAAAAGAACTGTTAGTATAAGGGGGCACATCCCAACTCAAACTAGACGCACCTCTGGGCCGCCCCTGACTGCAACTCGATTCGACGAATCACACACCACCTCAAGCCATCTGACACAAACAAGATGAAGGTTTAGGGTTTAGGGTTTCGGGTTTAGGGTTTAGTGTTTGGGGTTTAGGGATGTTTAGGGTTTAGGCGTCAACTGAATCGAGGATGCGACGGGCTGTGGCTCCTGCTCACTGACGAGTTGAGGGAGGGCTTGGGGTTGAGGAGCCACATGTGGGGCTCGCACTCACCAAAACATCTGGCAACAAACAGCCTAAGAAACCCATACCGGTTCGCGTTCACCAAGTATAGGGTTAGTCAGGACCTTTCAGCCCAAGCCACAGACCTCAAAGCACAACTTTTCACGACCTCTCATTCAGCAACGAACTCTGACTACGCGCACAAGAGGTCGTCGAGGGCTCTCACCAAGCTACGGTTGTTCCTTTAAATCTTGCCTGTCCTCGAGAGCTACCTCGTCGACAGACGACCTCGAAGCGCTGGCACCAAGTAGCGATTTTAGGAGCTTGCTGCCGTTACTGAAGCCTTTTCTGGTTTGGGGCTATGATGTCCTGGCCGGAACGACTCAGCAACACTCTCAAGCCCCAGCACTCGTAGCGACCGGAAGCCTTGCGAATAAGTAACCCTAAACCCTAAACCCTAAACCCTAAACCCTACAACAAACTCCATGGGACCCTCGGCGCCTTTTTGAGCCGCAGATCTGGGGGTCATATACGCTCACTGCTAGGGCTCTCCCGGCTGAAGACGGGGCGCAAGCTGAAAGATACCCGAGTCGACATGATCATACGTATAACCCTTTTGCATAAGTCTTGCACAATGTTGCGCTAGGGCCGCTAGGGTGGCGAGCGGTGCACTTTATCACCGATGCCCCAAAGGCCTCACAGGCGCCATTCCGGGAGCAAATTGGAAGTTGAAATGCTTCAGAGAGCGCCGCGCCGGCAGCACCTGCTCCCCCGAAACTATTTCATGTTGATCCGACATCGCCAATCTCCAATTCCTAAGCAGTCTCAACTTTGCAGTGCTGCCGAACGCATGTCGGTTGAGTCTTCCATGTCGTACAGTGCGGCACGTGGCTTCAAGAGCACGGTGAGCGTCATTCGGCTCCATTGAGCCCTTAAACCCCCTACCAGGATGGGCTATTATACCCTACAATCCCTTAAAAGGCCCTTTATAGGGTTCGTTATGGGATTATAAGGCCTAATAGCCCTTAAACCCCCTAAGCGTAAGCCACCTTAAAGTCTACATTATCGGTAGCCGATCTGAACATCGATGCTCACGCCCAGGGGGAGGGTTGCGAAGGCCAGAGCGTGGATATGGCTACTGTAGGGTTTAGGGTTTAGGGTTTAGGGTTTAGGGTTTAGGGTTTAGGGTTTAGGGTTTAGGGTTTAGGGTTTAGGGTTTAGGGTCAGGGTTTAGGGTTAGGGGCTATGGTGGCATCATCGGCAGTGCGCCCGAACAATCTAAAATTCTTTGCACAACGTCTAGACGGCCCAGAAAACTGGATACATGTCAGCAAAACCGCTGAAAGCCCGCTACGGCTCTGAAAAAGCCACGCCCGCGAAGCAAGAAGAAAGTCCTGAAGAGTTCAGGATCCACTTGGACTAAAACCCTTCTGTGTAGGGCAGGAACAAACTTCCAGTGCCCCCGTTTATCCTTCGGTGCAGGGCAGGAACAAACTTCCTGTGCCCCGGCTCAGTCAACTTCGAACGACGATGTGCCGGCTCTTGGCTCAACACTGTGCGTGTGGTGAGAGCAACAAAATGCAGGGCGAACACGCTAAACCCTAAACCCTAAACCCTAAACCCTAAACCCTAAACCCTAAACCCTAAACCCCAAACCCCAAACCCCAAACCCCAAACCGCCAACCCTAACCCTGGCACCCTGTGGCTCGGAGCCTCTTCAGCCAAGCTTCGCGATCCCCAATCACCAAGAAGCTCGAACCCCCAAAGTGCCCTGGCAGGCCCCAGGGTCTCTCGTCAGTCCTCCTTGCCCTCTGGCCGCGGTGGGCCCCACGACCGCCAGAGCCACACCTAAACGGTTTAGGGTTTAGGGTTTAGATTTTAGGGTTTAAGTTTTTGGTTTCGGGTTTTTGGCGTGCACACAAAATTTTGGCCGACAGGTGGGAGAGCTGGCCGTTGGGCCACAGGTCGGCGCGCTGAAAGGGATGCCGGATGATGGGCTTGTTTTGGTGGGCTTCGTCTTTCCAGCGCCATGCTCAGAAACCTCCGAAGGATCCCCCAAGCCGAAGACATGCTGTCAGGGTTTAGGGTTTCGGGTTTAGGGTTTAGGGTTGATGTCGGCTGGTAGGCCCAACTATCCAAAATTCGCAATTCGAGCATGTTGGTGCGATTCGCCGCTAGTGCTAGTCTTTGCGAAACAGTGCTGAGCACGCCGCATGTGATTCCTCTTTGTGGCTATCGCACCCGCCCCATGTCTCATCTCCAAGGAGAATCGCATACCATGAAGTCCTGATAGTTCTGCCAAGCAGCCAATGGCCAGGGGTCGTGCGGGTCGTCAACGGCATTGCCAACTCCTTTTCCGGTTGTGTGTGAGTGCGCACTAGGCCTTCTGAACATTAACCCTGAATCTTAGTTCTTAGCCCACCAGCTATGTTCGGATTTCGGGTGACCCCTAAACTCAGGGCCTGGGCCGCCCCCCTATGTTGGGGGCGGCGCTTAAGCCCTTTCACCTCGATGGCACAAGCCGACCCAGGTCGCTCACCCGCCTCCCACAGCATGGGGATCGGTAGTGCCCACGATGGGCCGGGTACCGGAACACGTTCTCCTCGGGACCAGTACTGGTCCCTCATTATGTAACTGCCTCAAGGTGGCTGGCATTCTCGAGGGCGCAGGGCGCCAGGGCAGGAGGACCCACACCCCCTCGCCGCAGCGTGGCCAGTGACCAGCAGGCCTCAGTTGCCATGGTCTTGATTGATGCCTGGCTGACCCCCCTTGACCCCCTTGGCGCCCCTAACCCGCTGGCCTTCCTGGCCCCCCTCGGGTCTGGACCCCCTGAGCCCCGAGCCCCGTGACCCCCCCCCCCCCCTCGACCTTGACGCGTCTGCCCCCCCGGCGCCAGGCCTGCCCCTCCACTTCACCCACAGCCGGCTGGTCCCTGACTGGGTGCCTGGCCGAGCCCGCCCCTCTGAAACTTGCCGCAACCCTCCCTGAAACTGCTTAAGTTTTTAGAAGTGGGCTGTTGTCTGAGTTTAGGCCTAAACCCTAAAAGGAATAGGTTTGGGTGGCTTTGCCGCCTTGGACGGCGTGGGGTGGGAGAAAAGTGTTAGATGGCCCTCCACAATCGGGCCAATGCTGCTTTTCGCACCTCACGAAGCTTTCGAGCTTGTTCCGAAACCTAACCTTCACAGCATCTACGCCCTATCACAGCAAACCCTAAACCCTAAACCCCAAACCCTAAAGGAAGCTACAGATGTGCGCCCCCCATACCCGGAGGATGCCGCATACAGTTCTCGGTTTAGAGCACCTATACCCAGCACCCTGATCCGATCCTGTATATAGATCCTCCAACTATGCCAGGGTGACCAGCATTTCTGCGATTCGGCCCCACTCCCCCTAAACCCTAAACCCTATATAAACCCTAAACCCTAAACCCTCCAAACGCGGATGAAGGCTCCCAGCGCGGCATAGCGGACCTGCGCATCGCTGAGCGCGCCGAAGTACACCTTTCGGAGTCACCGCCGGAGTGTTCCAAACTTGTTCTAAGCTTCCCAAAACCCTAAACCCTAAACCCTAACCCCTAAACCCTAAACCCTTAAAAAGTTCAGTTTTTTTCGGACGAAGAGCTCCACACTTCCCAAACTTTCAGGGACAGCTACTCCGGAAAGTTGTGGAACTTTGGATTGCAGGCCCGAAGACGGTCGGATCTGGGAACTTGGGGTTTGGGGGCTCTTGGGATTAGGAATGTTGAGTCGGCAAAGTCTTCGACGTCTTTTTTTTGCGACGCTTTGAAGCAATAAGTCTTTAGAAAACACGTATTGAATCTGGACCCCTTGTTTGCTTGTACAGCGATGCCATTGCACATGATGGAGCCTCCTTGTATGGATTATATGAAATTCTTAGCGATAGAACTTGAACATTTCTCTTAGCCATAGAACTTGCCCATGTAACTCTAGCTCCAGCTATTGCTTCAGGGTGATACTAGTACATTGTGCTTGGCCTTGATTATGCCACCTTTCCGATGGTTTAGGGTTTAGGGTTTAGGGATTGCGTGATTTTGCGCCCCCTTGCGAGCGAGGCTGCTTGTAGAATGCTCGTGTGATCTGCGGGCCGCAATGAAAATCAGTGATAGGAGGTTGCGTTGCAGAGGAAGGCTCATCAGTGTCTTGGTAGAACTTGGGCTGTGCAGCCTAGACACTTCAGAAAGCTAATTACCGAGATGAGGGGTGACCCAGACGGGTGCTTGAGCACACGACTCGAATCTCCCCTAAACCCTAAACCCTAAACCCTAAACCCTAAACCCTAAACCAGGTACCAAAAGCAAATTCGCCAAGTCGCTCAACCCAGCCGGACAAACGGCGGCAAATGATGACAAGTTCAACTACAAGGAGGGGCCCCCTTGCTATACTAACTGTAGTTAAGGGACTTATAACTCTACTTATATCTAGGGGGCCCCACCTTGTAAACAACAAAACAAGCCTCCCCGAGGTACACATGTTTGTTTACCGCGGCCGTTGGCGCCACGCAGGCTCCACGAAGCTCCCAAAGCCCTCGAATCTGCGCGAAACCCTGAACTCAATCAACCTGTCAGACTTCGACTTCAACCCTAAACCCTAAACCCTAAACCCTAAACCCTAAACCCTTCCAGCAAGAGGCAGCAAGCCCCGCCAGGAGGTGCCAAAGCACATGAAGCCTTGCACGGAGTGCGGGAGTTCAGACTTCCGGGACAAAGCATCATCTCAAGGGCCGGTTTAGGGTTTAGGGTTTAGGGTGACTCAAGGGTACCTCTGACCCTGCGCCCGGTAAGCAGTTTAGCCCCCTAACTACACCCCAACCCCCAGCTGCCTGTCACAATCCCAAAGAAGGGGTTGGGGTGCCCTCATGAAGCCTTCACTGTACTCTTGGCATGAGTATGTGATCTAAAATCATGTATTGGCTACGGCTTCGAAGTATTCATAGGAACCCTTGGGAACTCATTCTTATCTGTCTTTACGCAGCCAAGGCAGATCATGTAGGTTCAGGGCCTCAGGGATTGCCAATAGAAGAGTTGCCTGCTCAAGCTACTGCGTGCTTCCTCCAGACTGCATACGGTGGTGAGATAGCAACGCTTATCGGCGAGATGCTATCAGCCTGCCTCAACCTGGGGTTTAGGGTTTAGGGTTTATAGGGTTTATAGGGTTTAGGGTTTAACCCTAAAACCCTAAAACCCAAAACCCTAAACCCACAAGCATGGCACGGAATGGCCGCTCGGGCCCTCGACATTTGGTAACTCAGCCTCTATGACTGAGGGTTTAGGGTTTAGGGTTTAGGGTTTAGGGTTTAGGGTTTAGGGTTTAGGGTTGCCGCAAGCCGAAGATCCGAGATGCAATTGGCAAGCAAGCCCTGAAAGTGCACACCCTAAACCCTAAACCCTAAACCCTAAACCCTATAAACCCTATAAACCCTATAAACCCTAAACCCTAAAGCCTAAAGCCGGCCTGACATAGCTTCATGGAACTAAACGCCACAAAATGGAGCCTGAAGCCCCGCACATGACACGGGAACCAGCCGGCATAACACCGAGTGCTCAACACCTGAAGCCCTTTAACTGCAACACCCCATGCACCTCCCCAACCCGCTTCCAACAAGCTAACGAAAACTCAAACCCCTTACCTTAACGGCCCTAACGGCCCCAACGCCCTAAATCTCTGAAGGGCTTAAAGAACCTAGTTCGTGAATCAAGCGAGCATGATGTGTGAAACTTGAGCTTCCCAAAGAGCCCAATACCCCCTAGTTCAGGAATATACCTTAAATCCTATTAAGGATCTCTATATAGATCAAGGTACATTCCTTAAGGGGTATTGGGCTCCTTGGGTTGCTTAGGTGCCAAGTCGCAGAGCTGTCGAACCGCCGTGTCCCGGGTGGCAGGCCTGCGGAAGACGTGTAGTGCTGCGAGAAAACTTGGGAGAGATCCAAGGGTTGGGGTCTCAACCCTCTGGGTTACCCACAGCACCTGAATCCTAGAAGCGTGAAGTTTAGGGTTTAGGGTTTAGGGTTTAGGGTTTAGGGTTTAGGGTTTAGGGTTTAGGGTTTAGGGTTTAGGGTTTAGGGTGACTTAGTTGTCCAAGAACCTAGGGGCTTTTAAAGGCTAACCTTTGGGATTCTAAGGGGAATCTGATTACCCCAAAGAGGGTTAAAGGTTACCTACCTCTACTACTAAGTCTAGGGTTCTAGGGTTCTAGGGTTCGAGTTACCCACAGCACCTGGATCCTAGAAGAGTGAAGTTTAGGGTTTAGGGTTTAGGGTTTAGGGTTTAGGGTTTAGGGTTTAGGGTTTAGGGTTTAGGGTTTAGGGTTTAGGGTTTAGGGTTTAGGGTGTCTCGGGTGCCTGCCGCTCGACTTCCCAGAACAAGCGACCGGTTCCAAGGGATGCCGCATAGCCAATGAGCCTCGGACTCCAGCCACTCAAGGCTTGAAGGCTTTGGGTGGGTTTAGGGTTTAGGGTTTAGGGTTTAGGGTTTAGGGTTTAGGGTTTAGGGTTTAGGGTTTAGGGTTTAGGGTTTAGGGTTTAGGGTTTAGGGTTTAGGGTTTAGGGTTTAGGGTTTGGGGTTTCGGGTTTCAGGGTTTAGGGTTTAGGGTTTAGGGTTTAGTGTTTAGGGTTTAGGGTTTAGGCTTCAGAAAGTTTAGGGTTTAGGGTTCTGGGTCTTAGCCTCATAAAGAAGCAACATCTCATGGTGGCGAGGCATTGTTCGAAGCTAGGCACTGTTGACTGAACCCCTACAAACTCGGCTTCTCTCATCGAACCTCTGCATGCTTGGAGGCTTCGAGGAGGGCCAGGGTTTACACCCCCTCCCCTAGAAGAAAGTCAGAGACCCCTTGAACATTACCCAAGCCTCCTTTGGCAGTCTTTGTGGCTCTGTGTACTGCGACAAATCGCACAAACCCCTGACGAAGCCCGCCACTAGCTTCACAGTCCTGCACCTTATGGGGGGAGCGACTGCTGATATCCCACCAACGTAAAAACACATTGCTACTCGGGCTGCAGAACTGAATGCTCCCCAAGGGTCAGGGCACTGGCAATGTGCGAGCCGTGTGGATCCGCCTTCTGTGTGCAGATGAAACCTTCGTAAAGGGCAATCTCGCGTTGAACCATAGTTGTAGCTCTCAGGCGTGCACCCAGCAATCTTGACTTTCCCACTGTTTTGGTCTCTGTTCTACCATGGTGACCAAACTAGTGCTAACGCACGGTTACCGGAATCGGGAATTCTACAGAATACCTTTCCTCCGAGCACTATCGCTCGCGCCGATGGGTGATTTACCTTGAAGCTAGCTGATTGATGTTGAAATCGAATGACGGGCTGGGACAAGCCAGGGAGGCGTTTGCATCTTTCGACAGCTGTCCTGTTGACTTCTGTCTGCCGCCTGCATACCAGGATGGGCTATTAGGCCTCAAAATCCCCACAACGAACCCTATAAAGGGCCTTTTAAGGGATTATAGGGTATAATAGCCCACCTGCTTACCAGGCTTACCAGATATCCTGCGACTGAGCTGCTCAAGGCCAGGTCCACGAGTACGACGACAGCGAATGAGTGCCTCGCTTTGACATGGCGACTTTACGGCATGTGTGTGTGTGTGTGTGTGTGTGTGTGTGCGTGCGTGCGTGCGTGCGCGTGTGCGTGCTGCCTGGTGCCTTAACGTACGAAACTTGCAGTTCCAGGTCGCAAAGTTCACCGTGAAAACCCGTGCGGGCAAGACGTTTCAAGGCACGAGTCTAGCTGCAACCTCCTTCCTAAACCCTGAACCCTGAACCCTAAACAATCCCTGACCATCCCCCTGATGAGAAACCGCGTCAAGTCCCTGATGTCTCATGGCTTTGATTTTCTCAAGCTTCTCAACTTGTCTCAGATCTCCGACTCTCATGACCTGAAACCAAAAAACAAGCCCTGTAGTTCCAATTCCAGCAGCAAACGACGAGATAGCCACGAAACAGCGACTCCCACAGATGGAGGTTCAGTTGACCTCCTCAAAGCCCTGAAGACAAGCGACAGGAAGATCTCGTAGTTGCTTTGCAGCAAGTACCTCGGCAGGAGGCTGCAGGGGCGTAAGTCTCGCTTTGGCGTGGTCTAAGCTTAGGGCATTTGGGATGTTCCCCTTTTACTAACAGTCCTACATGAGATTTTCATGGGGGGGGGGGGGGGGGGGGGGCGGTACTATAATCCCTACTAAGGAGTGTTAGAAAAAGGGTGAACATACCTAAGTAACTACTTAGAGTGGTAGCAAGGCAAACCAAGAGAGGAAGTCCACCCGAAGACATCACACCTGGACTCGGGCGCGGGTGTCCGAAGACCTATAGGTTTAGGGTTTAGGGTTTAGGGTTTAGGGTTCAGGGTTCAGGGTTTAGGGTTTAGGGTAACCCAGCAACCACATGATAATAAGGGTACCCTTTTTTGGGGTTGGTAACTTAGGATAAGGGAACCTTGAACCAAAAAAAGGTGAAAAACACGGGTACCACTGGGCTACCAAGCAGGTCTTGACCGGAGTGGGGCGTAGGGAGCAAGTCACCCTAAACCCTAAACAATAAACCCTAAACCCTAAACGATGCTCAGGTTGGCTCAGCTTGGATGGCGCCCGGGAAAACAGCGAGAGATCTGAATCCTTTGGGGAAGGAACCTCTGACAAGGGAAGCTTGAGTTGATATGGCAAACTACATACATACTTAATTCAAGAACGAAACTAAAAATACAAAAAGTATATATATTCATAATATTATATACATGAGCCTCGATCAGGATGTGGATGTTGGGGATAGTGTTTCTTGACCGTTCCCCATCGTTCCGCAGGTCAATCGCTACTTCGAGTGGTGGGGATAGAGCACGACCCTCAGTGCTACTTTGAGAGCATCGTGTCACATGTACCACCACCATCTTTCTGCAGACCCCAACCCCGTTCAAGCATAAACTGATACTTCGCTTGCTGAAGCCACTCTCCCTTAAATCCGTCTGGCAACCACTCACGCAAACATATAAAATGGTGGCATGTGCACATGCGTATACATATATATGTACATGCCGCCAGTCGTGACGATGTACCATTCACATGCCCAGCAAAGGTTGTTTATCAACGGTCCTCCTTCTCAACCCCATGGGCAGTGTAGAATGCCCAGGACCAGACTTCAAGTCCCCCCCAGTCTAGTGGTAGGCGATGCCCTGATGTCGGGGGACATGCACATGCCCGCGGCCGCCGTGCCGAAGCTGATGAGATGAACGATGTGCTTCCACACCCCAGTCGTAATCCAATGCACGTCGTCCTCACAAAAAAACCACTGTCTTATGGTAATGTCATGGCTCCTTGGTATGGGCCCTTCAAAGGGGGACCCTTATATACCCCTTTTGATACCCTATACAACCCAAGGGCCCATACATCAGAACCCGTCAAAGAGGGTAAGGGACCAGGGCCCATGAAACCACGGCCCTAGACACTCCAAAAACCCCAACCCCAACACACTAAATCCTAAACCCAACAACCCGAAACCCTAAGCCCTAAACTCAAAACCCAGTTTTGCTCTACGCAGAAAACCCGAGGCATCAGACAACGCCCCTTTTCCGAGGAGATGGTTTAGGGTTTAGGGTTTAGGGTTTAGGGCTAATGGTTTCGGGTCTCGTTTAGGGGTCAGGGTTTAGGGTTGGGATGTTCCCCCCTATACTAAAAGTCCTGCATAGGGATTGCAGTAGGCGGGGGGAAACTATAATCCTTATTAGGACTGTTAGTATAAGGGGGAACATCCAAAGTTTAGGGCTTAGAGTTTAAAGTTTCGGGCCTAGAACTTATAGGACCTCTTGCAAAGAACATTCTAAAAGCAAAGTGGGTTGCATCGATTCTTGCAAACCTTAAAACCCTACACGCTAAACCCTAAACCCTCAAAATGCTGACATCCCAGTGGGGCCATCGTCCTTCGACACGATGGCGGAGAGGACCATAATAAACATGGGCACCTCATCCCACATCTCCTTCAGGCGGTTTAGGGTTTAGGGTTTAGGGTTTAGGGTTTAGACGATCAATCTCAGGCTACGAGGCAGCTCGGTTCGCCCTTCCAGGGCCTCGTCATCCCTAAGGGAAGGATTGCGGTTCAGAGTTGGGGTCTAGAGCCTAGAGGGTTCAATGCTTCTCAAGGTCTGTGGTATGGGGTTTAGGGTTTAGGGTTGACTAAACCCTAAACCCTAAACCCTAAACCCTAAACCCTAAACCCTAAACCCTGAACCCTAAACCCTAAACCCTAAACCCAGCTCCAGACCACCCGTAACTTTTCTCAGCCCGGCTCCCACTCGAAGCGCATGGTGCCATGAAACATAAAGCTCCCGAAGCCGACGACAAACCTGGGACCAACTCAGCAGTCTCTTTGTTGGGGTTTAGGGTTTAGGGTTTAGGGTTTAGGGTTGAGGGTTTAGGGTTTAGGGCAATATTTGGGAGAGCAGCTGTGTTTTTTAAGGGCAAGGCGGTGTCGTGGCACAGTCGTTGAACACAAAGGGCGAAGGCTCAGTGAACGCCAATCACTTGGCACATACACCGAAGTGGGACCATGGCAGTTCCTTACCCTAAACCCTAAACCCTAAACCCTAAACCCTAAACCCTAAACCCTAAACCCTAAAACTTCTGCCCAGGGCACATGCTCATCCAAATCATCTTCACACGCAGGTCGTAGCTGCGACCGCGATAAAGGCAGTAAAGGGCCGGAAGACAGAAGAAGGGGATGTTGCTCCTAGGATTCGGGTGCTGTGCAGCGCCGCGCACACACACACACACACTCCCGAGCCGATGCTTAGGTGGGCTTGACTTCAACTTGGAGGGTTTAGGGTTTAGGGTTTAGGGTTTAGGGTTTAGGGACTTCAACTTGGCCCAGGCGCACGGAGTTCCAAAACTCTGCAATGAAGGGGGACACGACATACCTTGGCATGCAGGCTGCAGGCTTGAGTGCTGAGTTCATAAGCCCCCCAAAAAGTGGACACTTTTAGTTTTGTAGAGCTTATGGTATCCCAAAAAGTGTAAAGTGTACTGACTCAGCGACTAAGTTAAAGTGGATCCTCACCTCTTGGAGTTTGAGAAAGCAGCAGCAGAAAGCCGCGATTCTTTACTGCTTTGCTTGCAGGATCTCTCTCCCTAAACCCTAAACCCTAAACCCTAAACCCTAAACCCTAAACCCTGTCCCTCTCTCTCTCTCTCTAGGAGTCGAGCCCCTGGAGTTCTGAACGCCAGAATCTCGGAATGAGGGAAAATGCTCTTTGCCAGCAGGACTGCCGGAGAGCTGCTGGCGAACTGCAGTTACTGAAACTTACTTGCAGCAAGACACGCTTTAAATCGAAACTTACCTACAGACAAGAGGAGGAGAATCGGAAGAGAGGAAAAAATAATGAAGAGCCAAGGAAGAGAGGAGAAAAACATGGGATGTTCCCGCTGAAACTAACAGCCCTCAATAGGGATTCTAATAGGGAGTGCTGTAGTCCCCATTCAGGACTGTTAGTATAAGGGGAACATCATGAGGTGCATAGGTTGCAGGACTTTTGCAGACCGAGATGCTTTGCTTCACAGAACTGGTGCATGGCGTTGATCTCTCCCCAGTACCTGGTCCATTGTTGCTTGCAAACGGCTTGCAGGCTAAAGTAACCCGCCGGCAGGGAAGGCTAGACAAATCTACGCAACATGTCTGAGACATCGGCGAACCGTGCTCAAAATGCGGCCGCTAGCAAAGACGGGGCAGCGTAGCTTCGGGAACTCTTAAAGGTCCTAATGCAGTGTATATAACCCTTCATAACCCTACACGCATCTGAAGACATTCAGCATCAACTTGTATCCTAATGTCACATCAACAAAATCCTCGGCCGAAAGCCTCTCCCCAAGGCACCGTTGACATCAGGAAATTTGAAGCGAAGGACTAAGGAAACCCTAAACCCTAAACCCTAAACCCCAAACCCTCAACCCTAAACCCTAAACCCCAAACCCTAACCCTCAGCGGCCCTGAAAGCCCAATGTGCAACTGCGCCACGGAAGCTCCGACAGAGTTGCGTTCGCCATGGTCGCAGGGCGTGGAATGCGTGGAGGGAGCGCCTATGTGCCCTACACAGAAGCTTTGTGAGCCGGCTGCTGTCGACCTCTGCAGACTGAACGCTGTCAAGCAAAAAGGTCCATGCAAGAGGCGGCTGGGTGGGTTTAGGCTTGAGGGTTTCGGGAGTTTCGGGTTTAGTAAGGGTCTAGGAAACGCCCAGATCAACATCCGGAAGCAGGAAAGTCAGGTGGCGTATCCAAGCCTACCACGCCGAGAAACGCAACTCCGGAAAACTTCAATCTTTCATACTCGGCTCATCTCTGCCAAGGATGTGGGGGTGACGCGGGAAAACCCTGAAAGAAAGTCGTGGCATGTCTTAGGATCCGCCACGGAACCTTACCATCCTGGCATTCTCGTCCATGAATCCACGCATGAGGAGCCCAACTGCTGCAACATGCTGGGCCCAAGAGTAACCTAGGAATTAAAAAAGGGTGCCCTTTTTGTTTTCAGGGAATTTTGTCAGGGAACCTAAACCCAGGGAAAACAGGGGCATACGGGCGCCTACTCTGGGCCCTAGACTTGAGCCCACTACCCCCCCGCTAGGTTCCCCCCATAGTTAAGGCTCTTCAGCGTAATTAATGGGGGGGCAGTATAGAGGGGGGTAGTAGGAACCCATGATACTTGCATCACGTCTTGCATCCAAGAGGCGCTTGCCGCTCTTGAGGTTCGTGGATGTGCAAAGCCAGTGTGGCCGCAATCCTTGGAAGCAAATTAAATGTGCCTAAACCCTAAACCCTAAACCCTAAACTCTAAACCCTTCAGGTTTTTGGGTGTGTAGCCCGTACAAGCCACCTCCAAAAAATCCTCCAAACCAAGTCAACTTCAGACACGTCGCTGTGCAGTCTCATCAATCTCGCGCTTGGGCGACATGGCACTCGCCGGCCTGCAGATTCATGGGCAGTCTAGAGGCTTGCGGTCTTTGCTGTTTAGGAAACCCTAAACCCCAGCTGTTGAGGAAACCCTAAACCCTAAACCCTACACCCCCAAACCCTAAACCCTAAACCCCAGGTTCTTGTCTCGACGGTTGGGAAAATTATCAGTTCAAGGGTTTGAAGGCTTTGGGGGTGGGATGGGGTTGGTGTTGGCTCCAAATCCGTCACGCATCTCCAGGCATGCGTACGTGTGCCGTGCTCAGGGAGTCGTGGGGCCTGCCCTCTGAAGAACAACTCCTTTCAAAAGGCAGCTAAAAAGAAGGCCCCTTCTCATCATGACTCGACAGAGAAATGATTCACTCCTGATCCTCGTGTTCTAAACCCTCAGTCTTAAAAATCCTCAAGACAATTGCATGAAATCGGGAAGCCCTTCAAAGGCCCCATCACCCGAAATCACCCCCTGAGTCCCGGGTAAGTCCCTTTCCGAAACCCTAAACCCTAAACCCTAAACCCTAAAACAGGGCAGGAGCCCTTCAAGGTTTGGGGCTTGCTTCTGTCAGGGCCTCGGGTTTCGGGTTTCAGGGTTTCAGGGTTTCAGGGTTTTCGGGTTTTTAGGGTCAACCCCTATCCCCCCCAAAAAAAAGTCGACAAGAGCTTTGGGTAGGTTTAGGGTTTAGGGTTTAGGGTTTAGGGTTTAGGGCGCCTGGCTTTCAGACAGCTTGGGCTGGAAGGCTCCTGGTTTCGTCCATGGGAGCTTCACACCCGGGCTTTGCGGATCTTCATCTGGTGCCTTATACCGTTGGATGGCTCTTAAACCCTAAACCCTAAACCCTAAACCCTAAACCCTAGGCATACTGCAGCTTTAGGCTTGAGCGTTCTAGGGCCATTTCGAATTTTGTGCTTCGCAGTCCACGATCGAATCCTTCAACACAAAAACCGGGGTTGGAGCTTTGAATCGGCTTGAAGTAACCACGGAGCTGGACAAGTGGAGACGGATGGAAGCATTTTTCCGTTAAACCCTAAACCCTTTTGCAACCCTAAACCCTAAACCCTAAACACTAAACCCTAACCCTAAACCCCGGCTCCCTGCTTCCTGCTGCGCCCAAGGTTGCTCGTGGTCAGGAACAGCGCCGTGCACCTGACCTGGAGCAGCATTGATCAGAACTTGGCTGCACTCAGGAGGGTAGCTATAAACTAAACTTTTAGCTGCCTTAATAAGATACCCAATAAACCCCAAAAAAGGTAAGGATCTAAAGTTACAGTAAAGTACCACAAAGAGAATTGACCAGAACCACCGCCTTGACAACAGCCTGGGCACTCCAGAGAGTGAGAGTGAGATTTTTTGAGGGCCCAATGCGGAGGCCTTGCAGCCAACCACTCAGGGCGTCACAAGGAGCTCTGGACGTGCATCAGCAGCATCAACGCGATCGCTGGGGAAGGTTTCGATGCTTGTAGACAAACCCTCGAACCAGGTGTCGCGCACACGCGTGTGCAAGCAAGCAAGCAAGCAAGCAAGCAAGCAAGCAAAGGGACCTCCACTGTCAACACATGGTGTCTACATATATGTTGGGATTGATCAGTTCATTTGTTTCGCGTCGTCGCCGTCGCCGTCGCCGTCGCTGTCGCCGTCGCCGTCGTCGTGGTTACAAATGAGCAACAAGCAATGCGGCGAACCCTCCACCTTGCGCCCATGCTTAAGTTCTTGTCGCTTTGGGGGGGGTCAGCCCGGTTAGTACAGGGGCTTCGGCTGCACGATGCACAGTCTTGGCTGGCCGAGCCCGGCACCGTTGGGACTTGGGTTTGTCGAGGTCCCGCGTCTCCTGTAGATTTCCTTGCGTGGCCAGCACAGAGAATCTACTCCCGGTGCGGTTTCATGTGGGAGAATGTGGGTGTCTGGGGCTTGGATTGTTCCCAGATGCTGGGCTCTGCGTCAAGATTCTGTGCAACACATCGGGAGAGGAGACTAGCGAATCGCAGGATTGGGTTCTTACTTGCAGACGTCACGAGCTGGGGGTTTGGCTGTTCAAGACTTGGCTCCCAACCCTAAAACCCTATATCAGCCCGAAACCTTCAACCTTACCTAAACGGGCTGCCGAGTAGAATTGACAAGAATTGACAAGAAGGCAGCAAAGTCGAAGCCAAGATGTTCTATGGCAGAGATGCCATCACAAAACTCATCACTTACCTGGCGACTTTTTTAGTAGCAGAAGCGCAATCCCGTTTCTTGCTGATGTTGTGCTCGCCGTTGGACGGCTTTTGTCAGGAACCCCGAAGCTCGTAAACCTTAACCCTGAAGGCCTTCGTAAACCAGCTGTCAAGACGAATGCAGCTCGGTCTTGTATCGCCAGTTCAAAAGCAGCTATCATGTGTAGATCAGAACACGACAAGGAGCAGCCGGAGCGAGCCAGTGTCTGCCATCGCAGTTGAAGTCATGCTATTTTGGGCTTGAATGCAACAGCAGCCTCACCCGGACCCTCCATGCTTTCTGCTCGCAAGCTAACTGTTCACGCCCCGATCCCAAACCAAAGCCTTGTGTTCTGCGTCCAGGCACTGACTGCATCAGCAAGGACTCCGCATTCATCCGCCACTTCTTCTGATGGCTGCTGCGCGGAGTCCTCAATAGCCAGCAATCCACAGAACCCACAGTTCAGCTTTGGGGCATGGGCCCCAGATTTAGGATGTGGCGTTCAGATCGCGTCAGGAAATGTGCGGGAGAAGCCCTGAAGGTGCCAGGTCTTGAACCAAAACTGTCCTAGGCTCCCTAAGCTCGCAGCTGTTGAAACTCTGAGCCCTACTTCAAACAGCATTCTGCAAAGGCAGCCATCCCTGAAGATGCGGAAGGCTACCCGGAGGACACTGCAGCTTCATTCAACCCTCCGAAGCTTGCATCGATGTACCCAAGCGCACCACCCGGTCACTCTCTCCATGCACATCCCCATGCTGCAACGTGTTGAGCTGTTAAACTCCAAACCTCCCATACGACACTGAGGCCAGAGCCTGGCACCCCCCTCTGTTGCAGGTCTCTCTGACGGCCTGGAGCTGTATTCTCGGGGCACGTGCATTTGAGAGATGCAACAAAAACGCTACAGCTGATAAGGGGGCCCACAAGGTCGTTGAGGATCTTGCGCGCATGACCACTTTAGCAAGTTCATGCTTCAGGGTCTCACACCTGAAGGTGGATTATGTCATCTAGCTCTTGCCCTTTGCGCAAGCTCCTTTCCCAAATCCTCGATCAACCAGTCTATCCAACAGCAAACCGCTATCAGATACACTGGAGCACGCAGCCCCGGCCCGACCACTTATCCCTGAACTGCCAAGCCAAAATCGTGCCTCGGCATCCGGTCTGCTTGACCCGGCACACTCCAGGCCACGCCTGGGAAAGAGCCCAATTTCAGAGTTTTTAGGGTTTCGGGTTCAGAGTTTCATTGGTCCCTCCGAACTGAAACCCATGATTCGACTCCCTCAAAGACCTCAGGGCCCAGATGGGCCCATGGCTTTCTGAATCCTTGACTGGTAGGGCCCAAGTCAATGAGAGCTTAGCCAAAGAAAACTGACGCCTTCGGACCCTAAACCCTAAACCCTAAACCCTAAACCCTAAACCCTAAACCCTAAACCCTAAACCCTAAACCCTAAACCCTAAACCCTCCCTGGTCCCCACACGTGTGAAGCAGGGCTCAACTTGCCCCAACGCCTAAACCCGAAGAACCGTTCCGAAGGCCTGACCCTGTCGACCCTCCCCCCGCAGCTATGTGAACTCTGAACCCTGCATGCACTGAACCTTGCTGAACGTGAACAAAGCTCCCCAACAAACAGCCGGAGTTCGGGTGCATGAGCTTTGGGTTGAGGGGCAGGTCGATGGCGCAATGACCCTGGGCCCACGAGGTGCTGTGCAGGTGGGCCACCTCAGATTTTTGCCCCACACGCACCGAGCTGTACAAAGCGGCACAAATGGAAAGCTATAGACGCCACATACTAAAACCACCAAGCCCCAGGAGCTCTTTTGTAGATCCCTTCGTACCTGCGCAACCAGGAGTGTCCCCTGTCAAGCGTAGAGTTTCGCTAGGGCTTGCGGCCTCAGTCTCACCCTAAACCCTAAA